CTTTTTCTAGCCGTTTTTTTCCAAAGAAAATTACTAACACCTTCTCTCATGACTTCCTTCTCTCTTTTTCTTTTATGTTTTTTCCTCCTCTACCCCTTCGATATCAATATATGACTTCCGTTAAGTTAACCGTTTAAATGTAAGTGGAATTTTAGGAATAAATGCAACCTTACTGCTTGATTTGTCAGTCAGAATTGTCGCCTCCAAGACTGCTGCCATTATCTTCTTCATTGTAAATTGTGTGCCATTGCAATGCTTCGATAGACATAGGTTTCTTAGCAGCATCACTGGTTCTCCAATCTTGAGGTGCGAATTGTGAGATGGAAGAACTGCTGGTGTTAAGCTATTCAAAAATTCAACTGGATTACTCACAACTTCATTAGCGTTTGGTACAGCGTCAATAGAATTGTAGCTGTGACTCTCACCTGGCAACTGTTCCAAAAGTTTGAGGTTCAAGTTATCAACTGTCACATTCTTTCTAGCTAAAATGGTTCACAGGCAGTTGTAGTCTGTAAACTGATTCTTCGAGTTAGGAAGTATACCAGGTTATTAGTTCCTTTAAATCAGATACCACATGTCAAAAAGGCAAATTGACGGGGACCTCCTGCTTGTCAACCAAAGTGCCATGACCAACATACAATAGTGGCTTAGAAAACGTACCACCTTCCTCATCACCATTGAGCTGCACTCTCATCTTGGTTGGGGATCTCAGTTTTTTCACACTGTTTCACAGGTAGGGAAAATGGCGTTTACCTCGTCAGCTGTTTTCCATTTCGGAAATCACTGGAAGGGCTTTGTCTAAAGTCTTCCACAAGAAAGGTTAATGCACCTCCCATGATCCGTGTGTTGTGTTTTATATTCTGGTGTGCCTCATCAAATGTCTCGAAGGAACCCTTATGTCTCTTTGTCCCCTCATATCAGAGGATCCATTTGTAATCACTGAGGGGTTTGACTGATGTTACATGTTGCCTTCTCTTTCTTGGACAGGTCTAAAGTTTCTATCTAGAAAATAACCAGCGATTAGTCAAGCTGCTGTCCCGTAACTTTTTAAAATCGAACAATGATCAATATTTGTCTCGAATTTTAAGCTTTATAAGATTTATAATATTGTAAAACGTGTATTTTAATTTTTAAAATTTTGCGACACTAATTATCTCCCTTGCCTAAACACAGGGATAAAGAGCGTTTCGCGTAAGATCCGGTGAAGAGCTGCAATCTAGGTTCACTATCGGTCCCATTCTAGATTCTTCTAAAAAAAAAAAAAAAAAAAAAAAAACAATTCGTCTATTAAGAAACTGGATGTTGGTTTAACATTTATGCAAAGTTTCGTCACTATTGGTTCTTGGGTTTTAAATGGCAACTTCATTTAGACAAACAGACAGCAATCGACAATTATATATATATATATATATATATATATATATATATATATATATATATATATATATATGTATGTATCCTGACTTACAGAGACCTCCAGCAATTTACTAATACTTGCAGATTTAAAATGCATATTTTCTGGCCTAACGTAATTATATTAACGGTATTATAACCAACTATTTTCAGTCAGTTCAATTACTTTTGCAAGTTCTGTATTTGATTCTGCACACACATAAGATTTTTCTTCGTATTTTGCATTTTGAAATATATTTTATTAAAAAATCGAAATTTTAGAAAACCTTTCCCAATTTAGCGCGACTTACACACACATATGGCTGGCTCATTAGTATCCATTTTTAGAGTTTTCTCTCGTCTTTAAAAAAGAAAAAATCCAAAAATGGATATATAGGAAAATTTACTAAATTTGTCGTAGCAATCTTTCAAAGGAAGAAAAAAATCTAAATTCCTAATATCTGGTTAAATAGGTAGTATAAATAAAGTTCATTCATAGACGAGGAACGTCTAAGTAGAAAATGGCCAACTTGCAGAACATTTTGGAATGAGAATAAATTCAACAGATAAATTCGACTCAAGATGCAAGGCACCATCTTTGTCGATGGTGACTTACATCTTGGGTGACGAGTGGAAACAACATCGGTTTCGAATTTAATCTGATCTTTAAAATAATGCTGTACAGTTTGACAAGTTCATTATCAGTGATAAAACGTACTGTTTTCAATACGAACCGGAAGCGAAACGCCAGATGATGCAGGGGTAAGAAAAGAATGCTGAAAAAAAAAAAACCAAAAACAAAAACACACACACACACATAAAACGCCAAAAAAAACAAATGTATATTCCGATCGCAGTCCAATACCATAAATATGTGTACCATTGATCATTAGGAGGTAGTTAATTACAAATTCGTAGCCCGAGGACAAATTGTCAGTCAAACTGTATATCCGAAAGTGTTAAAAGGATTTCGAGAAATTGTTCGTAGGAAAATAGTTAACTCTGGCTTGAAAATTGGATTCTCCATCATGACATTGCACTTGTACATTATTCGTTTGGAGTTAGTCAGTTTTTGGCTAAGACATCCATTCAAAAATGGAGCATCACCTAACGTAGTCTCCTGTGATTTTAAGCTATTTCCAAAAATGCCCTGAAACGATTTGTTCAAATCAATCAACACGACAAAATCTATTCCCGAAAGCAAGTTTCAATAATGGCCTCTCACGGAGTGAGTATTTTCTCAATGGGAACAATTTCAATCTTATAGCAGCTATTAGTTTGCAGGTAACATAACTTTACTCTCACAGGGCCCTTCCTGGAATTAAATTATCGGAACTTTTTATAATTGTAATATTTTCCTTAGATCAGTCGAAAAATACAAGTATCTAATCGGCCCTAATGTACTTATATAATCATCTCTAGTACACCAGAATTTTGAGTTTAAAATTTTGGGATCAGAGGAGAAACAAGGCTTCAGTACATCTTAACTCCAATACCGGTAATTTAAACCAACAATAGTGTGTTCAGTCTGTGAATGGCACAGGGGGTCCTCGACTTACGTCGGATATCCTTTACTACGACGCGACGTAACCTGATTTTTGACGTAGATCGGAACTCACCTACATAAGCACCTTTGAGTCAGCCTGAAGCCATAATGAAGAGCAAAAATGCTAACCTGAACAACGCTTTCCTACTGTCTTCAAAATATTCACTGCTAACCTCTGGATTCTATACTCAAAGACGACCGTCATCATGAACAACATAGACATGGGTCCCGGGTTCGAATCTGAGCGTGGTCGTCTTTCTCTAGCACTCCATATTACTATGTCCTTCTTGAAAATATCATCCTCTGACGGGAATCTTAAGTCTCGTGAGTGAAACTGAAACTTTCGGAATCTTTGTACTAGCATGAAGTCAGAAGTTATCGTGACCGAGGATTTTAGCGTGTATACCTTGTTCTAAAATTTGATCATGCCAGATCTTAGAAACTGAACTCAAGATCTCTTCAGCTTAGTATAAAATAAATGTGGGCTCGATGGGTTAAGCAGGCGTCTGTAATAGGGTGTGGCTTGCCACCCTGACAGACGAGTGTGTTCGAATTCGAATAGTAGCCAGTCCTGACTGTTAACTTTACAAATAAATATTCATTTTTAAATAAATAGAAGAATTACTGTTATTGGACGAGTGACTGTTATTTTAACAATATTTAGTTTCATCAATTGTTTTATAGAAACAAAATAAACTATATGCAAACGAAACAAATCCTTCAATGCTGGGATAAATCACCCGAAAATAAAAGAAAAATATACATATTCATAATCGCCATAAATTTGAGTCCTCATCACCAATCAATGTATCCGGTCTACATATCTGCATCTACTATTTCAACCATCATTCTAACACGGGCAGTGAACTTAACACTCCAAGTTCAATTAATCAAAGTTGATGCATCAAGGGCCGTAACCCATTACTTTATATATTTTATACAATAAAAAAATCCTTGTATACAAAATATATTTTAGAACTAGAGTTCTCCTCACTTTTCCGCCGGCGTATACTTTCTTCCTGTCCAAGGTTAGACGTACACTTTCAGAAGAATCTTGTATAAAATGCGTAACTATCATAGAATGGACAACGGACAAGCATTATTCCAATGTAGCTTTATTCAATAGATTTATATGCATTTATTCAGATTGATAGGCTTGAGCGTTTTAAAATCTAAATTAATTCTGGGAACCGTTTCAGAAAGATATATATATATATATCTTATTTTTATGTGACAGTCTCTTGAACGAAACTTGGCTTCGATCGTATTAATTACCAACAAACCGTGTTCACAATGGTAAGTAGATCAGAAGAGCAAAATACAATTTACATATTTTTAGATATAGTTATATGATTATTTCGTCATTATTCATGGACATTGTTGTAATTTTCCATGTATAATACGACTTCATCTATAAGACGCATCCCTAACATTGTGCTGAAAGTGAAGTATACTCAGGCATAATACGCACTCTTTTGTTTGGTAATCAAATCCTATAAATTGTATCACTCTAATTTCATGACGGCCAGCGTTTCCTACTCTTATTAAAAATGGTTTGAAACAGAATATTATTCTAATTAAGTTTTATGATAATTCTTATTTTATTTTACATTTGTAAGTATTGTTAGGTATATATGATTGTATTTGACATCCTTATGGGGTCACAATCGTCGAATGTTAGTGTCAAATTGTTGTATGTTTGTGGTGAGTAGTCATTTCGCAACTGAAATTGACCTATGAAACGGTAATTGTTAACAATATTCTGTAGCTGTACATAATACGCACCGCTAATTTTGCTTATTATTTTTTTTAGAAATAAATGCGTATTATACATGGGGAATTAGGGTAATTAATTTAGACATTTTTAAAAAATCATCTCTGTTATTTTAGACTCCCAGCTATATCACGTTCAAAGACCGGCCCCCGCAGGATCACCGAAGTTAAGCAAAACCTAACCTGACCAGTAAATAGATGAGTTACCATGTGCCGTAAGCTTGGGTGTTGAGATGGTTTAATGCGTAATGACTTAAAAAGGACATAAAAGCAATACCAATCCAAACTGATAGTACTGACCTGGCTCTACGATGCTTAACTTCGGTGATCGAACGAGAACCGGTGTTTCAGCGTGATTTGACCGCTTGGGAACACCTGGTACTGTAAGCCCCCAAAGTCCAACCCTTACCTCACAGTCGGTGGGGGGGTGTAAACGGTAGTGTCAGAGCTATGCCGCCCGGAACTTCGTTTCTGGTAGGGCCACCCAAGGCGGACAGGTCTGACACACAATTATCTAACAAGGGCTCTGGTGAAAATCCAAGGAGCGTCTGCATCGGTAACCGGCGGCTTCTGGTCGTTCCTGTCTCTGCGTCTGTGGGAACCCCGTGGCAAGCAAGAACGTTATCCGAGTAGGCCTGGGTACCCTACTTCTGTAATTTATCCCAAGAATCTTCTTCTCATAACAGGAAGAAGCCGGCTCAATCCGCCCAGGGTGAATGCCGCATCAGTACAGTCATTAGTACAGTAATCCAAACTGATAACTGAAATCTTTTATAAGATCAGCGTTCCGTTTAAATATGATCACGTCATCGTCACGTGGGCGATGTTGTGAAAACGTATTCCTAAAATTTGAGTATTTTGAATGATATGTACGTTTGTCGAGCATTAATCTTGCTAGAAATATTAAAGAAGCCAGGTCTAGTGTTCCCCGTGCGTGAGATAGAATTGCTTTTATGTCCATCGTCTTTTTCATGTTGAATTGTATATGGTCTATGTTAATTATGTTTTATGAATATGTCCTGAAGATGGTCTACTAGATCGAAACGTCCGACGTTGACATTAAACATTAAAATAGCATAATCGCATATTAGGATTTTTGTTTGTTTTTTCAGTATATGTTTCTTCGTACTGTCGGATCTATATCCATATATTTGCTTATATATATATATATATATATATATATATATATATATATATATATATATATATATATATATATATATATATATATATATATATATATATATATATATGGCCTAAAATTGCATATAGCATGAAACAGACTGTCGCCTCTAAGTGTTGACTTTATGTTGACTTTTATATTTACACACGCTCTATCTCTGATATTGAACACTTTATCCCATAAATATAGCACACCTTAAGACTATATTTCTTTTATATATATATATATATATATATATATATATATATATATATATATATATATATATGCAATGTTCTGACTTTATGAAATATTCTAGCTGATTGAAAATATGGAAAACCATAAGTGCTACATTTTGTGACAATGGAGGATATCGAAGAACTCTCCATCATAACGATATTTTCTTTCTCTTGAGTTTCTTGTATTGCTTTGCTGGTGAATAAAACCTTGTTCTCCTAATCAAAACAGAGTACTTTCGATGTAAGGCTTCGTTTACCCGTTCAATTTACTGGCAATAAGCGTCTGCAGCTATACGTCTTCCATGTTCATTTTGTAACATGATGTTGATGGCGTCTACATTATTCCACCAGATATAAAAAAAATATATTTCTGTGGATAGAGTCTTGTTTGATATATCGCAGTCTCCATTTTTATGCTTTTTAAAGCCTTCGTTGCATCCGTATAAACTGCACAAATCTGTTTAAATGTCTCTGCAGCAGTGCTAAGATTTCACAATTCATGCTGCAAGAAATGGCAAAAAGATTACGGATGTAGTGTAGCAGTAAATATAGTTTTAATTAAGGCTATCAATATTTAATGCTTTTCGTAGAGGTCAAATATTAATGTTCTCGAAACTGATTGACGGTAAGGGAGAAATCACTCACCATTTGAATTTGAGATATAAATTTTAAGTGAGTCGGTCAGAAGATCAAATAAGAATTTAATATTTTTTTAGACCCATCTCTATTCGGGTCCCGGACGTTTTATTACGCTCAAATACCCACCCACTGTAACATTTGTGGAACATTGCATTTTAGGTCGAGGTTTTACTAAATGTTGAATCACCCATTCTTTTCCGTGTCATTCATCGTAGTATGCTACCGAAGTGGCATTTATGAGAGGGATTTGACGATACAACAGCGCGTCAGCAAATTGGTTACGTGGCTTTTTTTCGAAAGGTATTCATGGGAAGTGGAAGTTCGCAACTTCATCCTACATTTGAGATAACTTCGTCGATTTCTATTTTGTACCTGACTCGCCGAGCCTTGAACATCTATGAGTCTCAAGTGCTCGTCAGATATCAAGTGGAACGCATATATACGAGCCATCACCAATGACGCTGGGAAAATGTTCGTTCCTGTATATGACTAGAGAATAAAATTTGATTACTACCATGATTTTATCTTTACCGGTGTCAGATCAAATAAAAATTAGACTATCACTGCTATATCTACACTGGAGTTACCCAACTCCCTATCCGTCTATCTCTCGCTTTATCTCTCTCTGTCTCTTTCTCCGTCTCTGTCTTTCTCTCCAGCCTCGATAGAGATCAAAAGCGTTTAGCAGGTGAGTTATTTTCCACAATACAATCTCTTTCTCCACAGACGCAAAATCGCCTATCGCTACTATGTCGCTGTTTCCATGGGAAATGTTCTGGCGAGCTATATTCCATATATCTAAAAGTTCAGCCCTTTAAGGCTAAGGCACGCTATGCTTTGTACATAGCGGCCCACTATACTCGTTCTCTCCATATACTATTAGTAAGAAATAAAATTACATTCGGATAGCTTCTTCCTTGGACACGGTACTTTGTCAAACAGAAAACTGAGCCAATACTTCTCTGACCATTATAATCTTAATCTTAAGTCCAGAAACAACCGTTGTTTGTGCTACATACAGCAATACTTACTGTTATATTGGAATAAAGTGTCGCTGCCGATAATTTGGTTTGGACACGGATTGCCAGAGAGCAAACACAGTCGACGTCATCTTGAATAATTGCATCACGTAAAGGGTAAAGGAAAATACATATATATATATATAAACGATCGAAGCGTTCTGTGAAGAACACCACATTCAACGTCAACTGAAAGAAGTATACACAGCCTAGTGGATAAATATTTTAGATGATCGCTCAATGGAATTGTGATTTCAATTTCTAGATAAGTTTCTGCATATGTCATATAATCTGGCATAGGGAAAATGAGGCAGTATCAAAAAGATTAATTAACTACATAAAATTAACTAATACGATATATCCTTTATTATGAACAGTGAAATGAGAAAAATCTAACCCTGAATAAAGGGCCTGAATCAAAATTTGTGGATATTTTTGTAAGCACGTCAGTCACCTGAAGAAGTCCGGTAAGAAACCAGCAGAAACGTTTTTTTTATGAATGCTGACTAAGATGAGGAAATTGGTGCCAGTAAAACAGAATTTTTGTTAATGATATTTTAGTCGTGAATACCCAGAAAAATAAACCGTTTATAATTTGAAGTGTTCCGATTAAATAACCAAAGAATGTGAATTGGAGATAGGAATCATTTAAACTGTCTAGACTTTATAATTACAAAATTAAACAAGAAAAATAGCCGCGAGAAATATTACTGACATTTGTTCTCGAAATGAGTTCTGCTGGTATCTATCTATATTTTATCTATCTATATATCTATATATATATATATATATATATATATATATATATATATATATATATATTTATAAATTAACTGATTTAAAATATGGTTTCTTCGCTACACAGGAATTACCATGTTTCAAAATCCGAATATAAAAACTTCAAATTGAATTATATAATTAAATTAAAAGCATTATTTCTGTTTAATCTTCAAGCGAATTTTGCAATCAGTTTATCTATTATATTTATGCTCTGTAAATTTACATTGAGCACTGTTTTGTAAAAATAAAACTACAAATAAGAATACCGGATCATATATCTCACTGATCTTTCTTTTTATTTATATCTCTCTCTCTCTCTCTCTCTCTCTCTCTCTCTCTCTCTCTCTAATATATATATATATATATATATATATATATATATATATATACAAAATATATATGTGTGTGTGTAAAAAATAAGTTGGTTACTGAAACAAGGACAAATGAAAGGTACAAATATAATCAGTAAAATTGAAATTTTATGAAATATTGATTATTAACCAGAAACAGAAACGAAGCACGGAAAGAAAGATTTTAAGTTGGGAATTTTCGGACACGACTGTATCCTTCATCAAAAGATCAAACAATAAACAGAGAAATTAGAATTACTAACCAATGTTTTTTTTTTTTTTAAATGGTGCATTTTCATGCCGGTGAGTAATTTAAAGTAGTGGCTTTCTCTCCCCGAATATTACTTAAAGCCCACTAAAGCAGTAATGGCACTTGGTCTGAAGATGACATCGAAGCGTGAAACTTGCAATCATCACTCAGTGTTGATTCATATCCAGAGTGTCCATATTTAGTCATTCTCCTATGGTGAACACTCCTACCAATGAATATAGCAAATGTTATATATATATATATATATATATATATATATATATATATATAGAGAGAGAGAGAGAGAGAGAGATTAAAAGTCCAAACTACCTAATTTAGAAAATATCCATTTTTTCATAGGTTTTTATTGGACGTTACCAATTCAGAGCTCCACAATAAATTGTAATTATTTACTATAAATACATTTATCTATTTTTTTTTGTGGATCAGTCTTAATATATCATATTATTAGGATTCACTTGGATTATATAACTTTTTATTATTACCTATATATATATATATATATATATATATATATATATATATATATATATATATAAAATGCATGTTGCATTAAATAATATAGACAAGTTTTATCGATTTTAAGTAAGTTCTTTTCATATTGTCTGATAAGCAATCATATATATATATATATATATATATATATATATATATATATATTATTGGCATCAAATGACAATTGGAAAAAATCTTAACTTTAAATTTACGCGTTTCGTATTTCGACTGTTTCAAGGCAAAAATGAAATCGAAATGTTTTTGTTGTTATAATTACATTAAAAATCCAAATGTAAAAAGATAGACGCTTCTGTGCAAGCCTTCTTTTCTGGTTAATGTAAATTACTTTTTTAATAATAATAATAATCCTTACTATAAACAACAAAAAACTTTCGATTTCATTTTTTGCCT